CAAACTTTTACAGCTACGATTCCTTGATTTAGTAAGCTGTATTATTTATAAACAATCGTTCAGTATTTTACTGGCAGTCATGCAAGGTTCTACCGTTTACAATTTTCAATTCTGTTTTAAATTCACGTTTGCCCTGTATTGAACTAAAATCTTACTTTTCAGGAATTCTATTGGTTAAATATAACCAGAGGGGGAATCCGATCATTAAATTGGACGGTTATTACTATACAAAACATTTGACAAGAAAGTATGGTGATAATCTTTCACAGTGCACCAGGATACGTTGGAGATGTCTCACTGACTGCGTACGGGGATGTCCCGCTGTCCTCTACACCTTGAACGGAAAGATGATGTCGGCTAAAACAAACCATAATCATGATCCTTATTAAAATGAAAAAGGTTGAAATGAACATCGTGTCTAATGCGGCATGACAAATTCACAAACACAAACGTTACTTTTCTCGGGTACACACATATGATATCTCAATCTCGACCCGAGAAAGTGACATTTGAGTGTAGACAAAGCGTTCTCGAGTTCGTCAAGCTATGAGTACTACTATTATATAGATTTTATAACTTGTCCCGTTTTATAATCTTTTTTATAATACGGTTATATTTAAACAATTTTTATTAGCAAAAAGGGGCTTAAATACACATTATCCTCAAATATTGTTCTGTCAATAGCACATCTGAGATGAGAGAGTATTTGTTTTTTACTTTTAATTAATGTAGTCATAGTTTTACTTATTTTTTATAATTTATAATCATTGTTGATTATGACCACAAAAGTAAACTGTATATAGATAATAAATGGATTTATTATTATTATTATTTCTAAAGATCTCTAAAGAGTGTTGATTGTCTACCTATAATCTACATACAACTGGAATGGAATGTATTTTTTTTCATTTAAAAAAATGTGCATTTCTCATTTCATCGCTATTCTATAATGCTCCCACTGCTGGGAAACAGACATCTCTCAGAATCCCTGATTCAATGATTGCAACCGTCTAAACTTTTTGAAGCACGGAGCTTCTCGAGCTAAAATATTTTATAAATAATAACAAACATTATTCTAATGATTCCAGATATATATCCTTTCCAAAAGAAAAGACGAATCAAGCAGACAAGAGAAGAATTACTAATGAAAAAGAGAATAGCAGAAAAAAAAAGATACCAAAAAATTAAAAATAACGAAGAACTATGGAGGCAGAGACAAGAAAGGTATCGACAGAGATACTCGCGTCAAAGGGCGGAAGATGACAGAAAGTATCAATCAATCGTATATGATTGATTGATTGATCAATGAAACCTTAATCCACGAGAATTGCCCAAAGGTGGTATTTACTTGTACACTTATAATAATAGTAATAAATTTTAGTATTGAGTACATAGCGTAACTATAAAACAAAAATATTTTTTATTTTTGATTGTGTGCTGGTATGTGTGTGGGTGTTCGTGTGTGAAAGAGAATGAGTGAATGCGTGTATATTGTAAATATAGTAACCACCTTTTAAATACTAATAAGGGTGGAAAATGTTAAATAAATATCATAGAGTAGGTAGAAAAGAAGAAATACATTGCCTTGAGCCTTAACATATCATTGACTTCAATTTTTATTTATTATTATTGAACTTGTAATGATGCTTTGATATATTATGTACACACGGCTAAACGTGAGGTTACGATGAAGGTTTACCACAATATGTGCAAATTTGAGCAACTGGATTTTATCGCTTATGTAACACAACATAGAAAAAGATTATTACATAAAAACTGATTGATGGCTCTACAATATACATATATGTATATAAATTTGAATAATTGTTAAATGTCTTATAAAACTTTTATAGTTACAATAAAATTTATAAAAAGCCTTCCATTTCTAAAGTTTGAAATGACATGTCTCTTTTTATTTCAATATGACTTTTAAAATCAGGATAAAGCTGATAATGTTGTTATTGAGGCACAATATATATATAAAATCGATGTTATGGGCGCGATGGCTCCATGGCACGCGGATTCGGTCTGCAACGCGAGCATCGGTCATAGGATGGGTGACCAAATAATTTTTATCTTGAGCTCGTCCGTGCCTCGGAAGGCCAGCTATTGGTCCCTGCTGCATCTGCAGTCGTTATCACGCACCAATTTGCACTGGGTCCGCGTGGTTGTGTTATGGCCAGTTCTTCCTATTTTGTTCCATTCATATGGAAGGTTCGTGCCCCTGATCTGTGCTAAAGAGCGACCTGAAGTCTTATCCACTTCGCCACCGAGCTATTCAGTAATTTGTGAAAATGTCCACAGATAATTTTCACTTCGTGACTGGCACCAAAGGGAGCCGGCTCATCAAATATGACAACTACTTATACTCTAAACACATCACGAGGAGGGGTCTCGATGAGGTTGTTAAGACCAGGTGGTATTGCAGTACTCATCATTCCCGAGGCTGTAGTGCGGTTTTGTATACTGTCGATGACGTCATCATATCCTATAAAACGACGCATAATCACGTACCAAAACAGAATTAGTGTTCAGTTGTGCAATCATTTATATAGTTTGGTGAATGTTTCATTTTGTGCAAATTGGGCTCAAAGACGTTTTCTCACGGTTTATTTAATAGCTGTTTATAATAATTGTTTTATTATAAAAATGTTGAAGAGACAGCAATCGGATGTGTACTTTACGAGATATTGAGTCTTTAAGTTTTTTTAATAAATTATAATGAGACTACACGATAATGGTAATTAGATATTACGGAATGGAAATGAGCTATTTATAAATGGTAATTAGAAATAAATATAAATAAGGCTTAACTTTTTATCTGTATGTCTTTTTTATCGATACAGTTATTATTCATAGACATCCAGAACTAAGCCATTTCATCAAAGTAAGTAAATGTAATTCTGTTGTTATTAAAAGTGTTGATGATAAAAAAATTATAGTATACTAATAATATAAAATTGCTTTTTTAAATTATTTTATGTTAAATGTATTGATCCTATTATTATTATAAATATGAAAGTTTCTTTGTAAGAATGTTTTTAAGTCAATCACGCCGAAACTATTAAATGGATTTTAACGGCTTTAACGTGTAACTAGAGTAAACTGATTGATCTGCCAGCACTAACTCTAAGACACTAACAACCTCTTTGGTTTGCTGAAACTATATTTATCAACCTGAAAGATCATTTAAGAGTTCATTTGATATTTGAAAGTTGAAACATGATATACAAAGAGTTATGCGGAAGAGCTGCTAATCATATCCCCACTGCAGGTGCTCAGGCCTTCCTTATGGATGGTTAAGGAGGATGGGCCATGACCTTCCACGCTGGCCCAATGTGGATTGGAGGGTATTAACGACTGCAAATGCAGCCTGGACCAACGGCTTAACGTGCCTTCCGAAGCACGGAGTAGCTCGAGATAATAATTTTTTGCTCACCCATCCCTTGACCGACCCTTGCGAAAGTTGCTTAACGACTACGATCGCTGGCCGCGGCGCTTATCAACTACACCACCGAGGTACTTACGCATTTAACATGCATCATCTCTTTCATACAATGGTACGTTCAGAATTACATAAATTTGATTTGAGCCTATAAATAGGTACCTTTTTTTATTTGATTGGTAATTAGTTATTTCGCAAACCACTTAATTTTTTCAGTGGGAGAACTTAATTTTACGAAGCCACACTTACTCCACACAAATTGGCTGATATTGTCGATAAAGTCATGAACTACCCAAAGATATTAAACATAAAATCAATGCTCAGAGACACGTAATTATAAAAAAATAAGCTAAACATATCGTGGAACAGTAATGAAAGAAAAGTGCACGGACAAAGTTCTAAAGCATGATTTCTTTCAATATGTTCTTAGGTAAACAATAATTTGTCCAGATGTATTTAAACTAACACAGTATCCTATAATTTAACTATTACAGTATCCTATAATTTAATGAATGTGTAGTTCTCTCGGTCAAATTTTGAGAAATAAGCCTCAATGTCGTCAAATCTGGCAACAGGAACACGACTGGCAACGAGATTTGCGGCATTTATTTTTTAATTAAAAAAACAAAATTTTGCGAATTGCCCATTTTATTTACTATGCAGTTCCAAATTCTTATCAACAATTTATGTATCCATGAAATGAAATATTCACCCAATTGTGTAAGTCTTCATGTATGTAAATTAATTTGATTTAATTTGTGGGTTTCAAACACTTGGTTTATCAAGTGCAGAATTGAATCAACGTGCTACACGTTTCATATTTTATTTTAAATTTGTCTTAAACGGCCGCGTACTTTCTTATATTAAATTTTACAAAGATTTTAAGCCGATATCTTTCTTTAATTTTAAATTTTTCATATCGCGTTTAATGTATCTGTAAAAAACTGAATTAATAAAATATAAGAAACTATTTTTTGTTATGTTTAAGCATAAGCCCAAGAGAGTCGTAAAAAATCTTATTTTTTTGTAAAAGAGTTTTTTTATACTTTCCCTCCATTTTTCGAGACAGAGAAAGAGTCTTTTAATATTTGTAATTTAATGGCGTCTAAATGAAATATTAATAAGTCTAGTACTGAATTTTTTTTTATAAATTTTTATTAATATTGTGCCTAGCAAAGATATAGAATTAAAGATGTACGTATTTTACACAATGACTCTAAGATGCATCTGTTACAATTTTATTGTGAGTTATAATAAATGTGTAAACTTTTCTTTTGAGATTATTAATCCCAAAAATGCTGAAAACATTGTACAAAAGATATAAATAAAATATAATTTGTAAATATATTTGCACTATTTATTTAGAAAAAGGATTGCAAATAATAAAGAACATCACATATTAATTTCATCATATCAGCCATACAACTCTCATAGCTGAGCATAGGCCAACCCCATTGTTCTCCACTCCACGACGATCGGTCCTGCGCTGTCTGCATTCAGCGGCTTCCCGGGACCTTTTATTAGATCTTCGGTCTACCTGGGGAGTCTACCTACAATGTCGTCCGGTACGTCATCTCAATTTTTGTCAGTGACCATCAGTTGTTCTCACTATGTGTCCCGCCCACTGCCATTTCAGCTGAGCAATCCTTTGGGCGATGTTAGTTCTCCTACAAACGTATTAACTTATACCTTTGTAATTTCTCACAGGGACACCTGTATTTAGACCGGCTAATTCAAAGGGCAAGAGGTACCTCTATCTGAACGGTTTTAAGTATTCAACGAGGACAGCTTACTTAATGAAGTCAGTACAGAGATGGCATTGCACCAGCCATCATGGAAGGGGATGTAATGCCTCTATAAAGACTCTAGAAGATAAAATCTTGACTGCCACAGGATTTCACAACCACGAACTTAATAGTGCGCGCAAACTAAACCACAAATAAGTTGTAACATTGAAATAAGCTGTTATTAAAGATAGTTACATCATTACTAGGAGTTTTGAAAGAAAACGTGAATTTATAAGATAAATCAATACCTCAGAGGGATATTTTTAGTTTTCTATTTCTGAAGTTCTCAATTTTGTACCTTTTCTTCTCGTAATTGGGCTTTTTTTTAATATTATTGTCATTGTTAAAATACTTAATCTCCTTGATATTACTTTAATAATTTGACTTGTATTATTTAGACCTTTCATTTCAAATTATAGACTGGCCGGGTGTAACGTTCTAAGTTGTATGGCCAATAAATATTTTTTATTTTATTTAATATAATATGTGACTTTTTTTGTTCGATCCTCAGTTGAAAAATTTATACATAATTTGATTTATCGCTATGTTTGCGAGACTTTGTTGTGAATTTTTAATCCAATATATTTTCCAATCGGAATTGTTTAAATTGACAGATAGATTTCCTTCTTGTATAAATATGTTGAATTCTTGCTACTTATTTAATGTATAAACTTTCCTGCATTGACTATTTTTCTACATATTTTGTATTTATTATTAACAGTAATATAGCAAATATAATAATATAATGTTATTATTACTTTATAATTACTTACAGAGGCACCTATATTTGGACCGATTGACTTAAACGGTAACAGACATCTCTACTTGAACGGTTTTAAGTATTCCATGAGGGCTCATTACAAGATGAAGTTAATCCAGAAATGGCATTGCTGCAGCCATTATTCCAGAGGTTGTAATGCTTCTGTAAAAACGATGGACGATAAAGTCCTGGCTATCATCGGTACCCATAACCATGAACTTAAACGTTCACGTATTTAACTCATGTTTAAGTTAAGTACATGATGAGAGGTTTTACAAACTAATGGTTCAAATTGTTATAGGAGCGCAACTGATACTTTTCGAATCCAGACAATGGCATATTAAAGAATGTATGTTCATAAATTTAGTTTCGTTGTAATTATACAATTACACTTTTCAAGTTTCTAGTATTTTTCTTATACTTGTGAAAGTTAAACTTATAACCTTCGATTATGACACAGCAACTGATTTAAAAACTGCTACATCTGCAGTCGTTAATACGTTGCCTGCGTGACCATGGTCTGTCCTATTCCATTCTCCTATTCATTTCCATTAATATGGAAGGCCTGTGAGCCAGCAGTATATTTTAATAGGCTTATGGTGATGAACTGATTTAAACACTTTTATAATAAGATTTCAATAACATTAACTAAATAGTAATTTATGGGTAACACCACGCTCATATATAACAAATACAGTTTTTCCGCAAAAAATAAATGAATGAAGATATTTAGATTGAAAAAGACGAAAACAATATGCTAAAATGTAGATAATACCAGTATTTGAGTATTTGATTGTGTTTAAGGTAATATGCTGAAACCAAAGAAGACTGATAGAAATGCGTTTTTAGCTTGGAAAAGAGACATGGAAAGGAAAAGATATGCAAAAATAAAAAGTGATCCCGAACTATACGCAAAATATAAAGAGAATAACAAGAAAAAGTATCAAAAGCGCAAAGAAGAAGGAAATGTCAAAATCATAAGTAGTTTCAACTTAAAAGATCAGAAAACGTTGAGGAAAAAATGGAGATAATATTGCAAAACATAATTTTATAATGCATATTAAAATTACAGTGTATTGTAAATGATAAAAGCTTTAAATATACGTCAGTACTAATAATAAAATTTATATTTCTTTAGTCAGCTCTTAAAAGTGCCGTGATATTAAATAATATATAAAAAAGCTTTCATATCAATCTGGATCATTCCAGTAGCGAAGGTTCCATAGACAACCTGATGTCCTTATAAAGGCAATTCTATTTCCTTATCTGTAGTCGACCCCTTATTACTGAGCGTCGTGGCCATCGTGGAGTAATCCAATTTGGGTTCATCTCCATCTCAAGTTGCAATTCTATTAATCCATGATTACAATATTTTGGTCTATGTTACAATATAGTAAAAATAAAATATTAAAAGTGAGAAATAGCTTATGCTCCCTATACACACCTATTGTTACTTTTTTTACAGTAAGGTTACTTGAATAAACAATAATTTATCTATAACAATCGTATTCTTATATAACACATACAATATGACACCTTTTCCAAATCTGCCTTCATTATAACTTATTATTAGTTAATTTATCTTCATTAAACAATGTTATATAGATGGCTTAAGTCAACACAGCCAAACTTATATGAATTGGCACTAACACGTTTTCTTTTTCAGGTTTCTTCTATTGCGAGGGTGGTGATTTTGAAATAATAACGTCCCAAAGAGGTGGAAACATATTACTGCGAAACGGACACCGTTATACAACCAAACGTCTGAACACTAACGGCAGCAGGGCTTGGAGATGTGTCAAAAGGAAGATCTGTAAGGCGACAATCGTCACACATAACGGGAAGGTAAAAAGAGAAGAGGTACACAAATGTCAACCAAACTACGTAGAGAATGAATTGAAGAAGTTTAAACAGAAATGTATAGACAAAGCGGAGACCGAACAAAGGCCTATCCCTGAGATTTATACACAGACAGTACATGAATTGAGGAGCAGCGGCTTCGAGTTTGTTGATGAAATACCAGATTATAACAATATAAAAACGGCATTGTATAGCCATAGATCTCGCGCAAAGAAAAACAAACAAGAAAATGTAGACAAACCTAAAGAATGTTAAATCCTATTGCAAACTCGCTATCTTTCCTGCTCTAGCAAATGGTGGTTCTGAACGATAGAAAAAGATGCGACAGAAAAGGCGATACTGTGCTATGAGGCTCAACCTTCAAACGCCATCCGTTTATTATGTAAATTTAGAGGGGAGTGGTTGATCATAACTTTTTTTAAAGCAGATGAAAGGCTATCGAGATAGTTCATACATGAGATCATAATATCCCACTTACAAACATAACTAAACTATCAATTAAATTTTGGTGTAATAATAAAAAAAATCAGAGAGGTGGGGAAAAAATATTTGGCAAAAATTGTCTTATATAATAAATGGATGTCGCCGTACAAAGTTTTCATGTATCTCGCTTACCCAGAGCTTCTCACTTTTCCGCCCACCCCGACCAACTTTCCCGCTCATCCTACCCACCCTTTCCCGCTCACCCTGTCCACTTTTCCCGCTCACCTGCCACCTCGCTTGCATAGACTAAAAACTCACACAAATGCATAATACTTGAACGACGCGTGGTCGACGCTTTCTCGTTGCGTATTTTTTTTACTATAATTAAATCTTTGTAATCTTAATCTTTTGAGGCAGATGAGTCTGTCTCAAAAAGCGTAATATTTTAATGAGTTTTGAGTACAGCAACCAACTGAAAAACGATCTAAGTGTTTTTTAGTTGTTTTTAGTACACAAGCTTGCAATTGCAGTGGGCTTTTTGAGACGGTATTATCATCGAAATTATTACCATATTATTACATATAGCATATTAGGTACTACATTAGGTATTTTATGAGTGTATTATCTAATTAGGTTAGTCGTGTGTTAAAAATATATACTACAACTAATAATTAAGTAATTAGAAATGTAATTCAATTTCCATATAATATTCATATGCACGTTAGCGTAAAACATTATATTCATGTATCGATGGCTTCACACATCAACTCTTTTATCTATAATTTACTAGAATAAAATAAAATTATAAATTGGTGTTTTTATTTACATCCAGATTTTCTATATCATTTAAAATTCTTAACAAGAACATTTTAGAAGTTAGACGACTATTATTAATAATATAAATTATTATGTAGATTAATATAGCCAAACGTATTTGAATTGGCATTAATTAGTTTTCTTTTTCAGGTTTCTACTATTGCGAGGGTGGTGATTTTGAAATAATAACGTCCCAAAGAGGTGGCGATATATTATTGCGAAACGGATACCGTTATACAACCAAACGTCGGAACACTAACGGCAGCAGGGCTTGGAGATGTGTCAAAAGGAAGATCTGTAAGGCGACAATTGTCACACATAACGGGAAGGTAAAAAGAGAAGAGGTACACAAATGTCAACCAAACTACGTAGAGAATGAATTGAAGAAGTTTAAACAGAAATGTATAGACAAGGCTGAGACCGAACAAATACCTATCTCTGAGATTTATACACAGACAGTACATGAACTGAGAAGTACTGGTTTCGAGTTCGTTGATGAAATACCGGATTATAACAATATAAAAACGGCATTGTATAGCCATAGATCTCGTGCTAAAAAAAACAAACAAGAAAATGTAGACAAATCTGAAGAAAGTTAAATGTGCTTACAGTTAGTAGTAGATGTGAAACAACGCTTGTCACAATTATTTTCTATGCCACTGTTGTTATTGATAAATGAAATTGTAACTATCCTAATATTGAAATATTATTATTGTGCAGTTAAATATCATCATTGTTTTCAAAATACTTTAATAGGCTCAATTTTGAATTTAATTCTGTCACAAAAATACACACTTAGCTTAAAAGTGTTTGCTTAGATTTATATATTATAGATACCCAATATGAATATTTAAAGTTTATATTTAAGAGCTTCATTACTATTATTCAAGTAATTAAACTTAATAATTATCAACTCTTATTACTATCATCCGTAGGAATTTAACAATAAACTATTTCTGTGTATGCATAAGATTTGTGTGACTTAGATTTTTGATTTATACTATCTTAGAAATAAGTAATAGATTAAATATAAGCGCAGTAGTAGTTCGTAGTAAAGTAAATTATTTATACATAAATATACAATAATTTATAAATAGTAAGGGGGGATAATAATAATAATAATAATAAAATGACAAAAAAAATCGGATCAAAAATGACAAAAATAAAAGAATGACGCCTTGCCAACTTTTCATATTTCCCAGCTACCCAGTACTTCCCGCCTTTGCCACTTACCCTGTCCTTCTTTACCGCCCGCCTTGCCCCCCTTTTCCACTCACTTTATCCGCCTTTTCCATTCACCCTGCCCATCATTCCCGCTCACCCTGCTCACCTTTTCCACTCACCTTGCCCAACTTTACCACTCACCTTGCCCACCTTTTCCACTCACCTTGCCCACCTTTCCCGCTCGCCCTACCCGCCTTTTCTTATTGAAAATGTAACTCGATTTCCTTATCATACATGATATTTATGTGAATGTTAATATAAGATCTTTATATTAGTGTTTAGATGGCTTCACGCATTAACTTACTTATATGTAACCTATGATTAATAGAATAAAATTAAATATTGGTGTTTTACTCATATCTAGATTTTCTTTATTAATTAAACTACTTAACAAACAGCCAGTTGCACAAACGTTCATTAAAATTTTCATTACATATTTGACAATCATTAGAGCTTAAAGGCGTCATTAAACCTAAATGGATGTTTGTGCAACTGGCTGTAAAACTAATAAAAAGTTAAATGTTAATTAACTGCACAAATTGCACATGTGTGGACCTGTTTAAAGAGTATCATTTGACTATTGTCAAAGAGATTTCATATTAAGTTTCTTTTAAAAATCATTGACACAACTAAATCTAGACCCTGAACTTTGCGATGAATTGAGAATTTAATACTTTGAGGCTACGGTTACAAAAATTATCACTAATACCGATTTTGCTGTGATCACAAAATAAAAACAATAAGTCCAAATAAAATACCCAGTTGCACAAACGTGCATTCCCATTTATTTTAAGGGACTTAAGGTCAGTTGAACAAACGTCTCTTAAGGTTTAATGGCGCCTTTAATCTCTAATGAATGTTAAATTTATACGGGTTATATCGCTTTTAAACAAGGATATCCTAATCATTTATTCCTACCGATATAATACCTATAATAAGTATTCTATAATTTGTTTTACAGTAGCCATCTATGTACTTTCGCAACGTGGAAGAAAGATGATAAAAAGAAATGGATACACTTATTCGAGAGCATTAGAGAGCGGCGGCAAAGTACGATGGAGATGTTCCACAGATATACACCATGGATGTCGAGCAACTCTCATCACATGTGGTGACGTGATAACGACTATAAAAAACAGCCATAATCACCCACCACGTTGTAATTAATGCTTACAGTAGACAACATTTATGAAGTATAGAATTATTTCTGATTGATATATATGTCGGCGGGTAGTCTTTTACGACGCCCAAATAGATGGTCCATATCGGAGAACTATCTTTAAAATAACACTGCAGGCGTGTATACCAACATGGATTTGTTTCATTTTATCAATTTTCATACGAAAATATAACGAGATGAGCGTGATGTCGTCGGATATCTATTCCTCGGCGATCGGAAACAGAATGTATCGAAAAATGGCGGCAATTTGCTTTTTGTTAACTGAACTGTCAAAGTCAGTGTCACCATTCTAATAAAATTAAAAGTATCGATGATCACGCTCTCTCTACAATCGAGTAATTAAGTAATCGAGTAACTAGCAATTAAAATAAAAGAAACTAAATCAAACGATCTTCGTAAAGATGATGCGACCTATATATATACTTTTTAGTAATATTATGATAAGCATTAGTAATTAATTTTATAATAATTGTTAATTTTGTATAATAATTTTATATAATTGCGCTGTCCATAAATGAAACAACTTTCAAACGTTTATTTATCAACGTTTACATTTATTAAATTAAACTAAATTATTTTAAAAATTTTGACTTACTTATTTACCCTTAGCTACCGTAATCTACCATCAGTTCCAACGTTGGGAGTCTTGGCTGAGAAGAACTGGCGAAACAAACTGCGACAAGAAAAAATGGATTTCTCCCTTTGATTTAATATTTACAGAATTAAGTAACTGTTTCTTTTGGTTTTGCAATGTGTGATCTGGATTGAGATTGTGTTTGACTAATTATTGTATCTCAAGCCGATGGTATATGCCAACCTTCATCTCTATTAAAATTCGGATCTTTTTTAATATCAATTATAAAATTTGTGTATTGTGGGTGTATCCAATGGTATTGGTTTGTGAAGGTAGCTATACTTTTAATTAAAAAGACAATCAACACCTTATTCCTATGTGAACACGGAACCTGTAAAGGGTCCGAAACGTCTAAAACTAAATATAAACGCTATAAAACCGTTTAAAAGTTGTTTCATTTATTGACGTGATAATAATTTGAATGTATTTACCAGTAATAAAAAAATAATTATATATATTATATCACTGCTATCTAATTGTACCCTATTTATAGTCCAATAAATAATATTCTATATAGTATTTTCTATTTATATATATATTAATTATATGTCTACTCAAAAGTTCGTTGCCTACTGTAGTTGCCAAAATAAATACTAAAAGCCAATAAAATACGGCCGATGTTCTATGGCCCGTAGAAAACTGTAAGGGATCATACTGCGATGTCGTGTTACCGACCACGTCGTAAGGCTTGATTTAGTGCTCGACCGACGACTATAGCTATACCTATCCATTAAAACATATAAACGGCTACAGTGCAATCTGATTGTAACCTAAGCGCGTTGTAAACGTTCGCGCACGTCCATTGTCAGTTGAGCACTAAATCAAAGCGCGTACGGTCAGCGCGTACGGTCAGCACGTACGGTCAGCGCGTACGGTCAGTGCGTACAGTTAGCGCGCGCCATGCACGCTGACCATCGGTCATGCAGTAAAGCTTAATGGGCCGCTTCACACGACGTCGTTTGTGACGTGTGATACGGCAATGAATGTGTTAAAAAAACCTTTTTGTTATAATAATATTAAAAATTAAAAAAATAATTGAAATTGAAAAAAATAATTTTACAGTTACATATGTAATTTCGCAACGTGGATATACAAAAGCGGTGAACCTCGCCAACGGCCGTATACGGTGGAGATGTTCGACCAACACGCATTTTGCTTGCCGCGCAGCTATCATTACATGTAATGACGTAATAGTCTCAATCAGAAACGATCATAACCATCCACCAAATCAACGACCGATTATCACAACGAAAGAACTTTATATTGGAAAGTTTGTTAAAAAATAACACTAGTTATAAGTGTTTTACCATTTCATTTACTCTGGATCCTTTTTGCATAAACAATTATGCCAAATTGTATTAGGAATAAGAACTATTCCTAATATAATTTGGCATAATTGTTCTTGACATAATAATACTTTGCCTTCATTGTTTTCCGTTGTTTCTATTAATAATAAAAAAAACTGCTTCCTCATTATTTTGTAGGTTTAATAAGAATTATGTTAGCGTTTATTTGACACAATCATGTGAAAAGACTCCTCCGTTCCTTTATTAATAAAATAAAAAAAAATATAACAAGCTGTGTTTAATATTTTATCAAACACTTGAATATTTGCTAAAGATTTACGTTTATTTTTCAAACAGATAACAGATTTCCTTAGTGATTTTTAGTATTTTATGCACACATATGTAGTTTTCACATGTGGTTTATCTTTTTTTGTTTTTTCTTTGCATCTAAACATGCTAACGAAGCAATATGAAAAAGTAGTGTCATATAAATATTATTTATAAAAAACCCATATCTGAACTGAAAAATGTACGGTGCCTACAATTAACAGCACGTCGTTTTTTTATTATTATTATACAAATCTAAAATATTCATTCACATGGTTTTAAATCTTAATCCATTGATGGTTGACGTTGAATATATTTATTTATAATAATAAAGTGACGACGTAATTATTTTACAGTTACTTACATATTATCGCAACGTGGAAGAAAATTGATAAAAAAGGATGGTTATACTTATTCCAAATCGGTTGAAAGAGATGGGACAGCGCGTTGGAGGTGTTCCACTCATTCGTACAACGCGTGTCGCGCAACCCTCATCACTTGTGATGACGTCATAGTGACCGTTAAAAACAGCCACAATCACCCCCCACCTGTTGTTATAAACAGCGAGCGGCATCTCCAAAAACCAATGCGTATACTACCCGCATGAAGGAAAAAGTCAAAATTACTTTTAGAAACTTGAATTTGTAAACTGTTTAATACATTTTTAAATTATTATCCATCGTTTATTATTTTAGTATTATTTGTCGGAGAATGAGTAAAGATTTCATATTGATTATATTTTCCATCGACTCTTAAACAAAGAGTTCGAGCTGGTGACATTTTACGCGGTCGACTTTCCAAAGCGGACTGAGCGCACTTCTGACATTTCATAAACAGTCATCACCGCTGACATCTGTCCATTCTGCAACGTCATGTTATAACTTGACTCATTCTTGGCAACTTTAATGGTATAATTCAGAAAACCAGAACAGTTTTGGCCTCGTGTAAACGGAGATA